AGTTTGTTTCCCGTATGCAGTCGCATAGGTATAGTGGATATCAAGTTGAAGTAGACGACTAACAAACCATCATTTCTATTTTTTCAGACACTTCGCGAAACTTGCATTTAGATAATCTTGCTCTTCTGCAATACGTGAAACTATAATGCAGATAACGCCAATCTACAGATACAAATCAACAGAGTGTATAGATGAAAACAGGTGTCTATAGTACTTATTAAAGTATATTTCACTGCTTGTCCAACTTCCACACCCATAAACCCCTAAAACCTCTGTCTTCATAGGGCTACTTAGGTGCACAACTTAAACTATCGTTGGCTTTTTGGCTTTTTTGTTGTGTTAAATAGTTTTTCAGTGGTAATTTGACTGAACTGGGGATACAATTACAAAATTAATAATTCCCGATTTAGTTTCATTTATTTTATCATGCTTCCTTTCATCAGAACAGGTGAGTTAGAATAGTTACCATTAAATCCCACACATCCAATATCCTCAACATATGAAAAAACCTATGGGAGGAATAAGTTAATAAAATGGCATTTTCAAGCATATACCTGAACTCAGTGCATGCAATGGGTCCTCAGAAACAGTAGTTAACTGCAATACTTTTGAAATTATGACAGCCAGTAACATTTATGCATATATTTAGGTGGACTCGGTCACTTAAAAGCTTTATAAAAATTCTATTAATGATTGCAGCTGAGAGATTTCTGATAAAATGACAACAAGTTATGCTTTACTTTTAGGTGGTACAGTTCATTCCTGGGAGGAGTTACGGCCTTCAGTTGGAGGCATATTGAAACAATTAATGGTGCTTCAAACCTCTTCTACGGCTGGGGTGGTGAAGACGATGAACTTGCGGTTAGACTGCAGCTGAACAATATTACGGTGGATCGACCTTCGGGCACCAAGGGAGTTTTCGCAGAATTCGATCGAAATCATCCTCGAGAAAGGAATCCTCAGAGAAAGGAATTATTGAAGTCCAAAATTGTGGCCTCTCGCTGGCGCAATGATGGTATTAATCAAACGCGTTACCAACTACTCGACAGACGTGACTACGAACAATTTGTTTGGATTCTTGCGGCGATTTGATTCCCAGCCAAATTTCATTCCAATGGTTTTGTTTCAAAATTCCTACCACAACGGCCATCGCAGTCCCTAGGTGGAATGGCTGACCGCTGGTTTTTGTTATTTCCCATTTTGCCTTGATCATACTGCTGAATGAAGCCTTAATCCTGTATGTGTAAACATGTTCTTACTGCAATAAAAATGCTACAAATAATGCTAGTTTCAAATGACATGCTGGATGATGGCATAAAACCGTTCAGGCCATACCAACCAAATCCAAATTCGGAACATACGTTCAATCGAAGAGGAAGAATTTGTCTGACTAACATTTTGATAGTAGATATTATTTTGACAGCTGGTAGGTAGTTTACAGCTAGCTTCTACCGGTCTGTGTAAACAATAAGGATTCTATTAGTCATACAACATTTGACCCCTGCGGAATTGTACCTGAATTGCAGCGCCGGCAATTCGGTGTACAACCTGGAAGAATAGGTTTCGCACCGTGCACTACATGGCTGATGATTTAAAACACGTTTTAAAACCAGTCGAATATTCTATCGTCGTTTCTGTAGAGGCCCACCGTGTGCAGCGTCAGTACGGTGACCTGCCGATTGGTGGATTTTAAAGTGATGATAAAACTGCGCTAAGGCTAGCACAATCGCGCCGTCCCCCAGTTTGGCACTGTAACATGAGTAAGTGAGGAAGAATGGAGGCAGGAGAGGGTGCAGGTGGCTGGCGCGGCCGGTGCCGCCCCTAAGGACACCATCACAGCCGAATCGCATCTCGTCTTGTAGGGGGACCAAGAGGGCCACTTTCAGAGGGAGCCATTGCAGTCTGGCTGTCCTTTAGTCAGCTCGCCAAACCACAGAATCACGGAGACTGGACTGTATGTGACACCTCGGTTATCACATCTGCTAGGATACTTACGTGCCATTGTTTTTAGTGCACCGATAGAGTTTCAAACAAGTGAGAGAGAAAAGGCAGTGAGGCGTCTACCGTTGAACGATGATCACATTCACGCTGGTCAGGCCCATATTAACGTGTTTCGGTTATTTTGATAAATAAAACCACGGGACACCAACCGTCAGATAATGAATTTTACGCCTGCGGATTATCCGTCGGTTTCTTCGATAGAGAATAGTGACTCACTTTGCGAGCTTCTGACTGTAAATAAAAGATAAGAATATACAGTTTTGTAGTCAGCAAAGTAAATAGGAACAAAGTTATTACTCTGCAATACTTAGAAAGGCAAATGGTTATAACATGCAGTAGGACGAAACTGGGACGCCGAGTGGCACATTTTCATTTCCAGTACGCCGTTTACAATAAATGGGGGAGGAACTAACGTTTGTAAAATTCCCCTCTAAGGCACTTGGTTACATATCCGTCAGTTTGCTCTAGGAGAATACAAGATTACAGCTTTACGTTTTTCCTATATTTGCATCTTCGTCTACGCTGTCCTATTTGCATGCCGTACACAGAAAATTCTACATTGCTTCATTTTCTTCAAAGGATAAATCTAACAGCTGAACATAGCATAGCAGCCTTAAACAGAACATTCGAATGAGTTGAACTGCTACTCTAATAAATACTTTGCTGCCAAGAATATTCCTATGTGTGAAAATACATTTTCATTCGAAGTAGTCGTCTTTGCGAACGACATAATTCCTACATGACGTAGATATATACCGATTTGTACGTGTGCGTCTATATTGAACAGGTGAAAACATCCAGCAGAGCTGTCAAAACCTTGGGAAATTCATCGTCGTTGGACATGAATTGGAGAAGTTTAAATGCGCAACTGGCAACTTTTGAATTTAAAGGATTCACTAGCTATAACCACGGGTCATGTTTTCGTTACTTAACTATAATTTGGGACGGTATAATTATAAAATGGATGCAACTATGGCTTAGTCTGCAGCTTGGGAGTCAGTACCAGATATTCTAGTAGTCTGAACTTATCCAACCTTTGTTGTTATTCTCCGCCTGATGCGTCTGTGCGCGTCAACGTTGACGTGTTTTTGCCGTTATGCAGTCCGTGCCAGTGGGTATGAAGCGGTCGTCGCGCTGGGGATGGGA